TTTCTGGTCAATGTGCAGCAGCTCCCAGTGCAGAGTAGGAGGCTTCTGGGCCAACCTACCACCACTCCCAGCACAGAGGAGGCTTCTAGGTTGACGTGCCACAGCTCCCAGTACCCCCAATTTTGCATTTATAGCACCCTGCCTGTCCTGGAGCACCTGCCAAAGCACTGTCAGTCATCTTCACACCAACAACTCGAAACATGCTCTGAGGCAAAAGAGTGACTCATCCAAGTTGCCCAAGTCCTGATCCCCAGAATCTGTTAATATGTTGCCTTAAATGGGAAAGGAAGATTAAAATTGCAGATAGGTTGCTGATTGGCTGACTTTAAAATAGGATTATATTGAATTATCCTGGTGGGCACACTGTTTAATCACAAAAATTTTAAACCAGCCTGGGCAAAATAGCAAGATACTATCAAAAAAAAAAGTGGAAAAGAAGAAGATGTGAAAAAACAGAAGGAAAAGTGGTCTGATTATTTTGAAGATAGAAGTGGCCATGAGTGGGCAGAAAATGTAAAAATGGAGATTCACCCCTAAAGTCTCCAAAAAAAAGGAACATGGTTTGATTGACTCATGGATTTTATCCAAGAAGAGCTCTGTAAAGTGTCTGATCTGCAGAGCTGTAAGATGGAGCATTCCCTGGCTTCTCTGAGGGGAAACCTTATGCCTTCCCTTTTTTGAGCTTCCTAGCAGCATGGTATTTGGGTTTTTTCCTCTTTTTTGTGTGTAGCACTGGGGATTGAACCCAGGACCTTCTCAGTAAGCTACATTCTCATACCTTTTTATTTTTTATTTTGAGACAGAGTCTCACTAAGTTCATATATTGCCCTGGCTGGACTCCAATTTGTGATTCTCCTGCCTCACCTTCTAGAGTGCTAGAATTATGGTATATGTCCGCATGCCTGTTTCTGGCAGTGCATTGTAACTGTCCCGAGAGTAAAGTTACTGTGTTGCTGACTCTATGCCTAGTATGCTGGCTCACCAAAGCCAGGCTCTAGAAAACACTTGAAGATTTACTGCACTCACGCTACAAGCAGTTGTCCTGCTGTATGGTTCACTCATGGTGGGTCAGAGTTGTAGCTCATGAAAACCTGTGAAAGAAAGAATTTTGGAAGTCTACATATAGAACCTATAATTCTTTTATTCAGAGACAAAGGAATTAGAAAATGTAAAACACATTGTGAGCATCTCCCCTGGCAGAGAATCCCATCTGGTGTTGATATAGAGGACCAAGTAATCCAAATAAGGGAAATATTATAACTCTCTACCTGCTAGATATCCAAAATGTGAATTCATGTTCTCTAAAATCAAAGAATGAATTCTAGGAACAATGGAGGTTAAGAGTAGGAAAAATTTATTGAGAGAAAGATAGCTTTTGTTTAAGAGATAGCAGGGGGACTGGAAAGTGAGTTGCCCACCCACTCCACTTCTCAAAGGTTCTTTATGGGGCAAAGCCATGAGGTGAGATGGGTACAAAGTGGGACAAAATTGTAAGATCCATTCATCATTGGAAATTTGCACCTTTACATAGTCTCTCTTGGTTCTTATTTTTCACCCTTGCCCAGACCTCCCTTCAACCCCTCCAGTCCTCCCTATTTACATTATATTGTATACCTAAAATGTACCAATGATTAGAACAAATAATCGATAATGTAAAATAGGAAGAAAAGGTTCAAAGGGGTAGGGGTAGTGGGAGGGGCAGGGGAAAGGAAAGAAGGGAAAGG